CTAACAAAAACCCCGATGGAACAAACACCGTGTCTGGGAGAATAAATTAATCCCTCTTTAAACAGCCTGACTCAGGGGCCGGGTGACGAGGGAGCTTGTTTTCTTTTAAAATAGGACGCGAGCGGGCCGGATTTCTGTAAAAACTGGCGGAATGCTAACGGTAACAGGGAGGAATAGGGACGGGAGAGCGTGCAACCCCTCCCTTTGCCAACTGAGTCACAATTTTCCCCCCTTCTGTCTGTAAAAGACTTGACTTAAAACCACCGCTGTTTATGTAATTCCAAAGAAAATCCAGTGTACCGAAAAAAAATTTCTAAAAAAAAAAAAAAAAAAATCCTTCCCTAGCTTTTATGAGCCCAGCCCTTTTCACCTCCCATCCTTTTCTGATTCTTCTTGCTCTTTTTGAGCTTGAAAACATAAAACGTGTAATTGCAGCAGCAGCACCAAAAGGAAAAAAAAAAAAAAGCCCCCCATCACCTTTCTCAAGGTAAAATAATCCTCTTTGCACGTTCCTGGTGGCGGTCACTCGCTTACTCACTGTCCTCCTCGGAATTAAACCCAAACCCACCCCGTGACACGAGTTTGAAAACCTGAGTTGAATGAATAAATCCACCAAGAGCGAGCACCATTCCTTTAGAGAGGAAAAATTATTCCCTTGCAAGTACCGAGGGATGAGTCACTTGCCCGGGTGTTCTGCCTCCGAAAACACGCCGGGAATGTTCCGGGGAGCCGGTACTGGGAGCTGGGCGCGGGGTTTTCCGCCTTTTCGTGCTGAATGCGGGTGATGCCATTGAGTTTGGCTGAGGTCTGGTGAATTATTTCTCACTCTAGTGGACAGTTGTGATTCGCACGTAGGAAACTTCACGCTAAGAAGTTAATCTCCTTAGTTTAGGGCCATCTCCCTCCGAGTCGCGGCTGGTTTATCGCCTTTCTGCCTCCCCAGGCTCACAGATGAGAGTTTTCCAGGGGAATTTATTCGTAGGCTGGCAATATGGTATTGCAGCAACCTCTGTTAAAAATGCCAAGTAATACTTTCAAGTACGTGTCCAGCTTCTTGCGGCTCCTCTTTTTTTTTTTTTTTTTTTTAAGAGTTGTGCGTTTTGAAATAGCGATGTCACCCTTTTTTTTGGAGTAGGCTTTGCTGCTTTTAATTAAGGAGTCAGCAGTTCACTTTTCTAACGTACTTAGCTACGTGCGACTTGGAACCATCTTCATAAAACCATGACGTGGAAAATTTCCTCTTTTTTTTTTTTTCTCCAAATAATAAAGCTTTAAGACCTCATAATAAATGCTGAATATCGTTTCTTGAGTCCTTTTGTTAAAACCAACAATTTAGGGCGCGAGCATCCTGATGCTCCTGCCAGAAAGCACTGTTAAGATACTCCTGACCTGACTTCAGTTTTTATTCTTCCCGTTCTCAACCAACAGCTTGTCAGCCGAGTTCCTGATGATTAGTTAAAACTAGAAACAAAAAGTGGATTTTCAAGCCCCTCCCGGGTATCAGTGAATAACAAATGCAAGTGACTGAGCATACACGCTCATTCCTCGTGGGGGGAGTTGTGCCAAGTGTGTGTCTCAGCTGTGGCAGGATTTCTAAGGGACAGCTTGATACGTGATGTGTAAAGTTGCAATTTTTAGAAAAATGTTTTTAGAGGAGGTTGCAATGTCTTTAATTTTAGTCTTGCCAGCAGTGGGATATGTGTCTGTAAATTGTGCTTTGCAAATAAAGTTGTTGGATTGTGTTTAGGTGGCATTTTGATGAATTGTATCTCTTTTTAAAGAAACAATTGTGATACTGAATAAGCAGTTCTTGTTTGGATCTTGTTAGTCCCTGAAATGCGTATTTTGAAAACCACTTTTAGTATCTGCTCGGAAAGTGAAAGTTGTGTCTGTTAATGTGAGGAGGAATCATCCATCAGAGTGTTCAAGATATGACTCATGCTCATTTGTTGCTCTCACATTAAGGCTGGAGCGCAAAAAATATTTTAGCCTCTGGCATTGGAAGTTCACAATGCGGCATCCTACCACTCCGGGTCACGAATTACAGGGTTTTTTGTTTACTGCCCCCCCAGGAAAGAAAAAAATCGGTGCTAGAACAAGGGTATTTTGCACGAGAGCCCGTCCCAGGCAATCAAAATATTGCAAAAATGTTGGCTTGACGTTAATGCTAAGTCAAGTAAAACGTGGTGTGTGCCTGAATAAAAATGGCTTGTGAGGAGCATGCAGCAGGTGCTGTCTTCCTTTCTTCAACAGCGAGTTAAAAAAAAAAAAGATACGGCCTGATCCTTTTTTGAAAGGCTGTAATGCAGGCAGCCCTTGGAAGTGAGGAACAGAGCTTGTTGCAGAGCGGGGTGGTTAGAAAGCCAGCGCTGCTGGTAACACTGGCTATCTGGGAACCAAGATAAGCAGACTTACATAAGCAGCGGCTTCGTAGCCTGTGGCCTGATGAATATACATTGTTTTATGTCCACCATCTCTGTCGGTTCCGTAGGAATAAGTGCATCATTACCTTGAAGTGCTGACGATTCTTTAAGGCATAAAAATATCCATAAACTTCATGAGTTTGAACCCGGTCCAAGGGATTTGGGCTCTCTATTATCCGATCTGCTAGCTCTGAAACTGTATCCCTGGAGCTATCCTTAGGTGCTCTTCAGTGTCTTCTGATGCAGTTTAACGACATTGTTTAATGCTTACTTGAAGTTGGCTGTAAAACATTTCAGAGTTTTTTAAAATTAAAGTTGTATTTAAGTACATAACTTGCTTAACATTGTGCTTTCAGTGTGAATTGTGTGTACTCTATTCTTTTGGTGCAAAGTAGATGTCTCAATGGCTTTTTAAAAACACAGAAAAGAAATGGTTGAAAATCCACAATTGTCACTGAAGTCAGGCAAAAGTTTAATGGAGAAGCTGGAGCCTGTGCCGTGGCCTGATTCAGCAGCGTAGCCTCCAGGAGAGTTCTGTGTTGGACTCTGCAGCAATCGCTTCTGCAAACCAGCCCCTTGGGCTGTTGTTTGAGGTGGCGGCTGTGGCGGGCGCGGTGTGGTAATGCTCAGCTTACCAGTTGCATCCCAGGCTTTGGCACGGGAAATGCAGATCAAAGCAGACAGGCTGGCCTGGCTCCTCACCGTTCCTGCAAGTTTTGTCTCCCGTTATCACACCGAATCCGGGCCTTCTCCCGTGAACTGCTTTCCGGTCAGATAGGCTTGGAGTGTTAGGGAGCAGGTATTCGTACCCACGTGGGTTTGTGTTTGTATCCCCTGGTGGCTTTTATCCAAAGATCACTGGCATCGTGCTCCTGAAAGATGAGTGGCTGGAGCGATGCAGGAGGAGTGGGAGCCCCCCGCAGCCGAGGGAGAGCTGCACCCAGGTGGCTGTAGTCGAGAGGCAAAGCAGCCGGTGCTTGGATGCAACAAAGAAAAAGTCCCAGAGTAAGCTTCTAGAAATACTGACTTCTCCAAAGGATGCGATGAAGTGGATTCACGTAGGAAGAGCGTTAGCCTGAGCGCGTTTCAGAAAGCTGTCCATCCTCAAGTAGACAAGTTGGGGGCTGCAAGCCAGCACAGCATTTTATTCGGCTCTCACAGCCTCGAGTTGTGAAGTACGTGTTGTTTGGTGAAGGAAACTGTAGGGAAGAAGTTCTGGAAGGCTGCAGGACTGGTCTAATGGGAATGCAGGTTTCCCCCAAGTCAGCTTCAGACCTGGCACGCTGCGTTAATAACGAGACTGATTTAAAACTGGTCTGATGAGACTGAGGCACATCTTGAATACAGATGCGCTTAAGCTGGCTTAAGGTGCTAGAGTGATTTATTTTAATGCTCCATTAGGCTGAATTGGTCTGTGTGGTTTCTAAACCACTTTAAATTAGTATCTGCTAGGGTTTGTCCCGGGCTGGCTGGATGAGTTTTAATAACAGTGTTTTCTGCCTTAAAATAAACAGAGCCTGATACAAGTGCGGTGTAGAGCAGCCCGTGGCAGCGCAGGCTGCAGCTCGGCCGAGCGGTGCTCGCTGCGGCACGCTCGTGGGGGGGTCTCCTCTGTCTTTTCCCTTTAGCTTCTCCCACTGATTCTGTAGTTCAGAGACAGTTGGTATTGGCTGTTTTGAAACAGCTTTCAGGTCTTCCCTCCCCAGCTGTGTTCCCCAGCATCCCTAACCAGTACTTATCGATTAGCTTCTCTTCCTGTCACAAAGTAGCTGCTGACAAAGTGAAAAAGAGCACGTCACTATTCTTATTAGCTTCCAGATGCAAAGAGCGCGGTGGTCAGTGTATAAATGCGTCGGGAGCCTGCTAAATATAGAAGTGTGGCTTTAGCTCTCGATTCAAGTTGCTTTGGTTTCAGTGCTCACGCACTGGTATGAACACGTTGTTTAAATAAGACGCCTTATTGCATCCTGGTCCTCTCTGCTTGCAGTTTGATTCTCAATGTGCACTAAGCTTGGCTTAAGGGTGGGGCGTTCTTTTGCAACTCCCATCAGTACATTCATACGCTCCAAAGATAGTCCCAAGGTGGCAGCTGATATGATCGCTAGCAAAACACCTTATCTGTTATGTAAAGATCAAATGCTGTGTTAGTAAAAGATCTGACAAGCACCTAGTTGTTTTCCATAAAAAGTGTTGCCCTCCGGAAACTTTATTGTTATTTGATTGTTCTGATGTGTGCCATCCTACACTTACCGCAGAATCTGCACAGCCGGTGCATTTAAAGCGCGAGCGGTTTATCCTGTCCAAAATTATGTAACCTTTCCCAGTTGTTCCTTCAATGGCTTTCGGTCTAGAATGTGCTTTCCTGTAGTTTGTAAATGTTCTCACCGTGTCAGAGTGAGCACCCATCAATAGAATTTAAGTGTGAATGTTTGGTTTTAGGCACATGAAGCCTCACATCACCAACAGCAGGCAGCACAGAACAGTTTGTTGCCTCTCCTGAGCTCTGCTGTTGAGCCACCCGATCAGAAGCCGATTCTGCCCTTACCAATAACGCAGAAACCTCAGCCTGCACCAGAAACATTAAAGGATGCTATTGTTGGGATTAAAAAGGAAAAACCTAAAACCTCCTTTGTGTGCACTTACTGCAGCAAAGCTTTCAGGGACAGCTACCATTTGAGGCGTCACGAGTCCTGCCACACAGGGATAAAGTTAGTGTCTCGGCCAAAGAAAACTCCCACCACAATGGTGCCCCTTATCTCGACCATCGCTGGTGACAACAGCCGAAGTTCATTGGTTTCGACTATCGCAGGCATCCTGTCCACGGTCACGACGTCTTCCTCTGCCACCAACCCCAGCAGTAGTGCCGGCGCCACGGCTATGCCAGTGACTCAGACAGTGAAGAAGCCCAGCAAGCCCGTAAAGAAGAACCACGCTTGCGAGATGTGCGGAAAGGCCTTCAGGGATGTCTACCATCTCAACCGGCACAAGCTGTCCCACTCAGATGAAAAACCCTTTGAATGTCCCATTTGCAATCAGCGCTTCAAGAGAAAGGATCGCATGACCTACCACGTGAGGTCTCACGAGGGTGGCATCACGAAACCGTACACCTGTGGTGTTTGTGGAAAAGGCTTCTCGAGGTACCATGTAGAAAATCCCAGGCGAGCTCAAGTATTGGCTTTTCATAACCAAGAAGGGTTAAGCTATGATAGCCAGGGGCTAGGAGAACCAGACATCTTAGAAGATTGGTGAGGGGATAAAGAGCCTTGTTTACCTCCAGGGTGTGGGTCTCCATCTGAGCCAGACTGGCAGTGGCCAAAAGTGCTCGCTCTTTTATGAGAGTGTTTTGAAATGATTTCGCGACCTCCTCCAGGTCCCGTAGGACACGTGTCTGTGTCAGGGGTGGTGACCACGGAGCCCCTTTACCAGCCTTTGCAAAGGTCAGGGGCTGACTGTCTCCTTGTCTCGGAGCGAGGTTGAGGCGTACCGACAGAGCATTGTGGGGGAGCTTGCATTGCTGCTGCCTGTATTTGTATCTGTACTTGCAACAGAAAAAACTTCAACCTTTAGAGCTGTCGATCTGTCACCTTGACACAAGGTACGACCAAACGTACCATTTTCAAGTGTGTAGAAAGAACATGGTTAAGTTTTAAAGTGCAGGTTGGGTCTCAGCGTAACTATGTGTTACTCTCGCTGAAAGCCACTGCGTAGGGGCGGGGAGTGTATTTATTCTGGCTGTGCAGAGGGATGTGGGCTGCGAGGGGTCATCAGGGCAGTGTTCAGCACGCCTAGCCAAGGTGTCGTTACTATGTATTTGTAACAGTATGCATTTCTTTTCTGTTCCTCTCTTTTTTTGCAGGCCTGATCATTTAAGCTGTCACGTTAAACATGTTCACTCAACAGAGAGACCCTTCAAATGCCAAGTAAGGGCTGAAATTATTTATTAAGAATAATACATTATTGTATCGTTAGAATCTCAGGTGAATAGTCTTTCCAGAACTGTATTTACTCCTGGATTTTTCTTTGGAAAGTAAGCTTAGGAATAAAGCTGCATCCGCCTTACAGCAGCACTGTAGTTCTGATGTAGGTGTAGGGGCAGTTTAAAAGGATGCTGTGGCTACGGTTTGAGGAAGATTAGAGGCTTTTTGCTTCCTTGGAGAACACCACAGGTGTGCTGTTTTACAGAATGCTTAACCTAAGTAATAGGATTGTAACAGTGTCCTGAGCTCAGTGCTGATTACTGGAGTAATATGTGCAATGTGTTCCTCAGCATGTTTAAATTAAATGTGTTTCCCAGTATATCCGTTTCAAATAGATTGGAATAGTTGATTCTGGATCCATTATTTATTTTGCTGGAAGGTGAAAGCAAGTTGTCCTAAGTTGATGACTGAGTGTAAGAGAAATAACTCGACTGCCCTTGAACAATTAACTGTTTTGCTTGGAATATCCGTGCTTGTTCCAGCCCGTGTTTTAGTGACTCATCATATTAAATAAAAGTCTTGTGTAAAAAGAATAGTGTTAGAAAAAGGTTTCATTTCCTTGTTCTGATTTGGATGGGAACAGAAGTAATTGAGCAACTTAAGATATCAGGTTCAGATTTGTGCAGTAAAATTGTTATCAAAACCCAGCTTTGCCTGTTCTAGCTCTGTTTTATAAGGTACCTCTCGTTTTGGTAGATAAGGCAACTCACTGTTTTAAGAAAGTTCACGTAGTATGATTTTTGTCCTGATTGTCCCAGAAGCCAGCTTCCGTTTTCAGTCTCTGTTCAGTAGTTTGATTTTGGTTTCTCTATAAATACAGGTAAAACTTCCTTGTGTCAGTATCCTTAGGATACTGTTTGCACCTACAAGGTAGAATAGGCTTACGGCGGGCGTGTAATTCAGACTGTAATGATGCTGTCTGCACTTCAAGTGTAACTGTTGTCCTTCATATAGACGTGCACTGCTGCCTTTGCCACCAAAGACAGACTGCGGACACACATGGTGCGCCATGAAGGAAAGGTATCGTGTAATATCTGTGGTAAACTTCTGAGTGCAGCATATATCACCAGCCACTTAAAGACACACGGGCAGAGCCAAAGTATCAACTGTAATACCTGTAAACAAGGCATCAATAAAAGTAGGTGAACGTTTTAAAAACATTTCTAATAACAATGTGTTTGCAAAGGGAATTGCCTTTGATTACGTTAAAATGCAAAACTACACCCTTCAAGCTGGGTATTCACACCTATGAAAAATAGATATTTGATAACAGGATCTTCTTCAGCTCAAGAAGTTGGCATATGTGGAATTAGTTTGCTGCTAGACTGTGCTCTTATCCCTTAGGAATGCCCTGCAGTTTGAGAGAATAACCCAGCTTTTGAAGAAGAGAGTTCCCAAGGTTTCCCATCTTCTAAGTTCAGTGCTACTTCCTGAACTGTACAGACCTGCGAATTCAACAGATAATTCTGGAGATTTTAGAATATTTAAGAACTGCTAAGATCTGCCAAGTTTCAGGTTTGAAGCCTGATCTAAACCTCATCAAAATTAAAAGAAAGATTTCTCTGCTTTCTCTGATCTTTGACCCTGGGGCTCAGTGATTCCTCCCGCTGGCAGTAGCTGACAAGAAAAGCATTTAAATCCAGCCCTGATGTTTTGGGCATTAGTGGCATTTGACTGGTGGTGTGCAGGAGTTCAAATGAGATGTTTATAATAGTTCCTTCTAGTCTTAAATTCTGTGAAAGTGCTAAAGCCTGAACCTTTGAGTGTCTAGTAAGCAAATAAAGATTTCACTTTCAGATCATCCCTATTAAAATACCGGTAACTGCAGTTAAGCTACACGGCTAGTGATGTAAGCCAGGTTTTCACAGGAATCAAGAGGGAGTGGTAAGGAATGTCTTTGGAAACTTTGTCCATAAAGCCTTTGAAACAGTATTAATTTACAACATCTTTTCAGTTCCTGTTACTCCTGGATAATTTGAAGGTACCGGGAATGTCTAAAATGCCTGATGGGTGAGCTTAATATGAAAGCTGGATGAAAAGTATTTTTCAAGGGATAGGATTACAGCTCTGGCTCCCGGGCCAGTTCGGGGGTGCTAAGCCAGTTCACGAGGCATTTACTGCAGTTGTTAGAGGTGGAAATGATGAGGTGTAATGTGGCCAGAGTAGTAATTGCAGATGTTCTTGACTTACATTTTGGTTTTTAGACCTTGGAAGAGTAGTTTTATAAAGCACAGAATTAATGATATGGTTTTAAAAGCCTCTGTGATTTGTGCTGGTGGAGTCCTGTGACACTCCACACACTCTTTATGGAAGAAGCCTTTGTCATCTCACAGAAAACAAGAGTAACTTTTCAAGGTGAATTTGTGTTCTTACTTAATTGGCATAGCATGCATGAGTGAAGAGACCAGCAATCAGAAGCAGCAACAGCAGCAGCAACAACAGCAACAACAACAACAACAGCAGCAACAGCAACAACAACAACAGCAGCAACAGCAGCAGCAGCAACAGCAGCAGCAGCAGCAACACGTAACAAGTTGGCCTGGAAAGCAGGTAGAGACCCTGAGATTATGGGAAGAGGCCGTCAAAGCGAGAAAGAAAGGTAAAACACAACAACCCTTTCGGTCTTGGGTTTATAAGATATGGGAGCTTACAGTTCTATAGGGAGTTTAAGATGTCAGGACAGGATGTCTTACAGGAAAATGTCATTCTCGATGGTAGAAGTAATAGCTAAAAACTAGCAGGAGAATAACGTGACCAAAATTACGCTGTCGTAAATGAACTCCTCATTACATACTTCCCTTTGGTCTCTGTGCTTGAACGTGTATGTAGCTGTCATCAATTATAAAGGGCTGTTTGTGTCTGCTCCAAGGCAAGCGTGTGTTTTTTTTTTTTAACTTGCATGTGGTTTTTAGCTGTGTTTATGCATATTTACCAGTTGTTAACTTGTGTGCATATATATATATACACACACACATACAACACCCTCTGTCCTTGCATCATCCTCAGTTTGCATGTGGGTGCTTTCTGTGTTCCTTTCATCTTTTCTCTCCCAATTTATTCCGTTCGCTTCATCATCACCTAACGGTCTTTGCATAAAGTTTTCTGGAACTTGTAGAACTTACTCTTCTATCTTTTTTTTTTTTTTTCATTACAAAATTAACCAACAAGTGATGGGGTCTTTCATTATTGCCAGCTCACAGCTTACATGTACCCATGCTCCTGTAGCTGAGGTTGAATAGCTTCCTATTGTTGGTCAGTGTGTCAGTTTTGTAAAGAATAGAGTGCTGCAATTTAGTGTTGTTAGACTGCTAGCTTATTCTTTTCAGTTTGATTTCTAATGTCCATCATGTGACTTGTGGATTACATGTTTTAGCAGAAATTCTCAGTGACCACTCACTGTTTTTCGCTAGCTGATTTTAGTAATAAGTGTTTTTGACTGACCTTATTTTTTTTCTTTTCTCCTAAACTTCCTTTCAGATTCTTCACTCTTTTTTTTCTTTTCTAGGTCTTGTTTGTGTGTTAGGCTGCTAGCTCCTTTCGCTTTGGTTGTTATTCCAATTGAATTGAATTCTGTGATCAGACAGTATAGAAACAGCTTATTCGTGTTAAAATATAGTGATAACAGAAACATTAAATATCATCAGGCTGCTAAATGGATAAAGCAAATGGGTGTCAGATTTAGAAAATCTCCTGAGAATTTTTTTTTTTTCCTGCTTGTTTCTTCCCATGTCTTGCTCCCGCTTCCCTTCCTTTCTTATTGAGATTTTTGAGTATGCTTTAACAGAAACAGTGGGTTTGGACAGAATGGTGGGCGAGGGCGGTGGGTGGGGAGAAGCGTGGTCAGACTGATGATAGTAGTTTAATGTAACTGGGGAAGGGATATGGGTAGGATGTGTCTTTGGGTATTGCTGTGCTCGGAAGGTGAAGCTAGACCAGTCAGTGCCATGCCGATGTGCTGCTCTGTCCGTGCTGGTTCTCCTGTGCTAGTGCCACCTCTTGCCTTGGCTTTACAACGCTGTATGGGATTTTTTTTAGTCTAATACTATTTATTTTCACTTTTTTTTTTTTTTTTTTTTCTTTTTCCCTTCCTTTCCACCCCTCCTAGATATGGACTTTGAAGAACCAACAGTAACCCTTGAATGGGGCTAATGTTGCTTTCAAAGTTAACTCTGTCTTGGTACATTTGTATTGCCCGAGTGGCAAGAGCGGACTCTTTGCTCCTGGCTTACCTCCTGAAACGTGGGTGTAGACTGAGCTTGGTGTCCTCCCCTACAAATGTGGAATAAGACACGACTTAGAAGTGCCGTGACGTTGATCTAGGATATATTTTTGTTGGTTTCTCTAGCAGTCATCCCTTCCCTTTACCTGCGTCCACCGACCCGCTTCTCTTTTTGGAGCCTTCTAGTGTGGGTAGCCGGCAGGTGGTGCTGACGGATGCCTAGAGAGCCCTTCGCCCCCCCCGGACCACCGTGCCCCCAGTGCCCAGCCCTGCCAGAGCCCACTGGCAGCAGGGCCGGGCACTGGCCTCCTGGGTCTTCCTTGTTCGGCACTAATTCCTGCTTACTGCAAAACAAAGTAAAAAAAAAAAAAAAAAAGGCAAACCAAACCCAAACAACCACAAAACAAACCAGCTTTGTGTGGAGCTGTAGCTTGTGTGAGAGCTGAGGTGGGGGTTGGAAGATGTACTGACGGGGTAGCCTTGAAAATTGTGAAGTATTGTGATCAGTGCAGCAATTTAGTAGCAATAATTAAGACTGAAATAAGCAGGTAAATATTGAAATGAGCTTTGCTTATCAGTCCCTAATAATGACTTTTTAAAACCTTCACAGAATGTCAGTTCACCTTTGAGAAGGCTATAGAGTACGTACCATTCGGTATGTACACTCTCTCCTCTATTTATAATGTTCCTCTTGGGAGGATTTCTTTGATTGTACGATACTGTTGTTATGAACATCAAAACCCTCTTTATAAGACAACTTCGCTTGACTTCTTGGGAAAAACAATATTGAATTGAAATGAACTGCATGAGAGTTTGTATTTCTTGTAGGCTATAGAATGTTAACAGTTTTAACTTACTAATAATTCCTAAAGAAAATTATGCCAGAATTTGTACCTGTTCTTGTTTGGTTTTTGTTCTTGTTTTTGGTTTTTTTTTTTTTAAATCTTGTCCACGGGTTTTTTATGTGTTAAAAACTTTTTGTCTTTTTATGTCTCATTTTTAGAAGCTGCTAACTTGTGCCAAACCTCCACTGCTGCTACTACGCCTGTGACTCTTACTACTCCATTCAATATAACGTCCTCTGTGGCTTCTGGGACTATCACAAACCCAGTCACAGTGGCAGCTGCAATGAGCATGAGAAGTCCAGTAAATGTATCAAGTGCAGTTAATATATCCAGTCCGATGAACCTAGGGCATCCTGTAACTATAACAAGTCCATTATCCATGACATCTCCATTAACGCTCACCACACCAGTCAATTTACCCACCCCAGTAACCGCTCCAGTGAATATAGCACATCCAGTCACTATAACATCTCCCATGAACCTCCCCACACCGATGACGTTAGCTGGTCCCTTAAATATAGCGATGAGACCAGTAGAGAGCATGCCTTTCCTGCCCCAGGCCTTGCCCACGTCTCCTCCCTGGTAAAGAATTTCTAAACAGTATTAAAAAGGATTAAAATGGAATCCTTACCAGCAGTTCCTTTTTGGGCTTTGTTTGGTTGGGGTTTTTTTTTACTGTTTTTTTTGTTGTTGTTGGTTTTTGTTTTGTTTTAGTTAATAATAAATTCAGACTAAGACACTGGGGCAACATGCACCATCAGAGACCATAGTAGCATCTTCCCCTGTTGATCTGGCTCATGTGGTTCAAACTTGAGTTTCACTGGAGCACTTCATTTAAAGTAAGTTTTACCTTTTAGCTGACTGATGCTGAATTAGAGCAGATACTTATTTGCCAGAGTTAAAAAAAAAAAAAGTAATTAAAAACAGTTTTATGTTTTATCCCCCAAATTATAACTTAGAAAATTATTTTAATCCAAACACTAGCAAAAACCCTTCTGTCTTTAACAGGGTGGATGGCTAGTTTTAACTTGCCAGTCGTTAAGGCCACTGTTTCTGAGCTAGTGTAGAATCTTTGTCTGTGTTGATGTTTTGTTTTGGTTTTTTTTTTTTTTTTTAAAATGAGTAAATGCATTACAATGTTGTCATTTAAAAAAAAATGCATTTTGGAGAAAATATGCATTTTACCTTTGGGAATATGATAATTTCAGGCAGCATTCCCTATGGGAAAGGTGATACCAGCTCTGATATGCAAAGCATATGATAACTTATCATTCTAACTTCAACATATAATAGGGATTGTGACCTGATATTTGGAGATGTAAATATTACCCAACATATTACCCTAAGGGAATATAGCATTGTAGTCAACATTTTTTTTAAGAAAACTGTTACTGTTTGGTGAGAAACAGCCATGGCTGACAGAAGAGGAGTCGAAATGTATGTAAACATGGTCTCTGAACAGTCAGACCCCTATGGGACTCTTATCGAGGAGCAAAAGGAGTGCTTTGAAACTTAAGAAATATTGCTTTAAGCTGGAAGATTCTGGAGGCACTGGGTATGATTTTTATGCCCTCTGCCTCCCAATCAGAGCCTGCTGGTGTTACAGCAGGGGACAGACGTGTTAGTTGTTCACTAGAAGTTTTGTCTTATATTAAATTGTATACAGTTTTTATTCTAACCACTAACTAGGTAGGATGCCCCTCCAGGACAAGCAGAGAGCGTCTTTTAATTTCTCCCCTATTTCTTAATCAAGTGTTGTGCAAATCTGTTCAACTTTGTAAATATTTGCAAACATCATCATTTTTACGTTATTCTTCTATTGTGTTAACACATTTCTATCAATTTGTGGGAGTGCTGGGGTGATGGTTTGAACTATCCAGCCCAGAACTTCTCCACAAATGGTCACACATGTTTAAGCTACATGTGCTTTTTATTTCTTAACCTGTTTATCTGTACATAAAGTAGAAAGCAAAATCTAGGGAAACAGATATACTTTTTAGACTATCATGTCACATATTCACGTTTTTAAAACTTTGTTTAAAAAAAAAAAAACACCCTAAACCCAAGACTCTACATTAAAAAAACAGAAAAAAAATTAAATGACAGTTGAGATGTTTTTATCTTAATGAAGTTGAAAGCTATGGAGATTAGCGTGTGCGCATTTTCACAGAGTGCTAGCAGGACTGACTAGTCAAAATGGACTGCTTCCGTTCCCACCCTGCCGTGTCAGTACAAGCAGTGATTGCCGGGCTGCTGGCTCAGGTGACAGCTATCTGTATCATTACGTGGAACTGTTCTAGGGGCTTGGACTACATAGTAAAACAAAAACAAAAACAAAAAAAAATAGAGCTTAGTGTAAAATAATTTTATAAATGATCTTTTGTACTTTAGGACATCAAATTGTACAACTTTTGTATATATAAAAGCTTAGGAACTTTCTGTTTAGCAGAAAGGAAACACATTCCTACACTTTTAATGTATATGTTTGTTATAATGTCCATGTAAACATATGCCCTATGTTTGTGCCTTTTAATTAGTTTGTCTCAATAAACAAAAATGTAGAGAAGAATATGTAGCTATGACTTTGTTACCACTGTTCTTACTCCAGCTGTGTAGAGGTCTTCGTTTTTGCACTGTGTAGAGCGTTGCGTGCAGAGAGCTGCATGACTTAGGCTGATCCGAAGTGACGCATGCGAGGCGAATGCTCCCCAGCAGATCTCCCTCCTCCCGTAGCATAGAGCAGCCCGCGCTGGCGGGGCCTTGCATGTTGGGATGTGTAGTTTCCAAACCATCTCCGTTACCTGTGGCAATGGTACCAGCTTACACCAGTTCTCCATAGTAGGTGTAGCATTCTGGATCTGGGTAAATCGCAGAGATGACCCCTAGATGAAGTTTGGGTGTCCCTGAGCTTAAAAAAAAAAAAACCCAACCCAAAAGCATTAAGAGCCAGTATGAAAATGTGTATTAGAAGTGGTTATCTCTGAATTACTTACAATAAACAGGTGTGAGACTTAATTGTATGTTGTCAATTACTGTAGTATTGACAGTGGGCGCTTCGCACAGCTAGCGTGCCCTGCTGAGGTTATTTTTATCCCGGCAGAGTAGCAGTAGAATAAACACATTAAACACCGGCAAGGAAATTTTTCAACGTGACAGAGGCTTCCCAAACCACTAACCATGGTGCTCTTAGCATGGGATAGGAAAAGGGCTGTTTCCTTTTTATTTTATGTTGGTTCTGCTCGAATGTACCTGGTTTATGTCCACAAAGCTACATTAGCTAATTGTCGACCTGTTTCATTTGTACTTGGGTAAACATTTGCTTTGTACTGTGTATAAATGGTTCCGAGGTGTGCTCCTCAGCTGTCTCAATACAGACATTAATTTCACGTTGTAATGCCATCATATGAAAGACATTAAGCTGTTTTTTGACAAACGAAAGCTACCTGGTCAAGTAGTTTATATGGCATGCATGCTACCTTATCATCGCTGGCTCATCCGCTGTAAGAAAATGGTGGATGTGAAGAACAGATGCTCCTGTTCCACCCAGTTAGTTTCTATGCAGCTGATGCGCTTAGCCTAGTTTATTTCATGGAAACTTTTAATCTGGATCTAGTCCAACAATCAGGGAAGCTTATTGCTGCCGTTGATTTGAGTGGGTTTTATATCGAGCCCATTCAGGTCTCCGATTGCAAGCAGTTCAATAGGGGTTTTTATTTTTTTTTTCTTCTGAAGTTTCCATAAGCATTCAGCGTGAGGTTAATGGCTTAGCACCGACTGAAAGTTTTAAAGTTGAATTTTGCCTTGGAAGGATTTGTGCCGTGGAAAGTCAGAACAGTCAGATCAATGGCATGAAAACTCGTCCTCCGGGTAAGGAGAGCCTCCGGGTGGCTGGCTGTGTGCTGGCGAGGAAGCGGGCCACGGGGAAGTAAGTATACGGCACAGCCACCCACGCCGCCAGGAAATGGTATAAACGGCTTACCTTGGGCACGGGTTTTTTTCTTTATGTGGAACTCCCCGCCACTTCAGAGGGTGTTTGGGGTGAGGAGAAATTTGGGTATTCGACCTTGTATATCTTGCTGTTGTTGCTATACCCGAGTGCTGTAAATTGGCAAGATTTTTGTTCAGTCAAGATCACGGATGAGAGAGAAAATCACGTGTTATTCTCAGTGTATGAGTTAAATTCCCTTTGCCATTGTTCACAAATAAAAGGTTTTTTCCCCCTCTTACAATAAGTTTTTCTTTAGAGTGGAAGAAAAAAAAGTATTTAATGTGTTTGCATTTGTCCACGAGAGATTTAAAGAAAAACACCAAAACCCCAATAAGCTGTTTTAGCTGCAGCAATCCCAGGTTACATAAAGGGGCCGGGGTTGCCGAGGGATTAGTCGGTGGCATTACTGGTGGTGATAAGCCCTCCAAGTTCTGCGCGCTCTTCTCTCACTTTTATTTTAGAAACAGTCACTCTGAGCCATATTTTGAAAACTGCCTGGGGTTAGATTCCCACCAAAGCAAGAAGGAAGGAAAATTGGGATTTAAGGAACGCTCAGGTTTTTAAAAGCATCCAGTACACTGATTTTATTTTTTTTTCCTTGTCTTGGGGTCCCCGTATGGCAGCTGAGTTGTGGACGACAGTTTTTCACTGCTGAGTCCTTCTGAAAACTCCTGCCTTGCTTTATTGGTGGCTTAGTTTATCCATCTCAAAAATAGATTTAACAGTATTTTCAAAAGGCAGCTATTAAAAGCACTTCCAGTTTTTAAATGCCTTTGAGGTCTTTCTCAGTGTTTAAGTGGACCTTCTTACTGGTGCTTTTTAGGATAAATAGTAAGTGTAAAAATAAAGCTCTTCCTCCGCTAATTGTCAAAGCAGAATAAAACTTTAAAACTTGATCCCCTTCTACCTATTCATTTCATTCAGCGTGTTTATACTTTTTGCTTATCTTTGGCTCATTCGCTCACAGCTTCCAGAACAGCAACTGAAGGATGACAGAGGAACTACGTGCTAATTTTTATGTCAAAAATAGCGTTCACCTTTAAATGCGCAAAGCTCAATGACCGTTTTCTAATTAGAAAAAGAATGCCTGAGCTTCTGCGGCGAATCCATTTTACAGCTGTGCTCAGATTTGACTGTCAGCCCCTGGTTAAAATTTAGTACTGAGGTCTTGACCTAGAAACAAACCTTTTTTGGTATTGCTTTGGAAAAAGTATTTCAGTGCTAAGAGGAACTCAGCCAGGCTGTCTAGCTCGCTCCCTCATCCCGGGCTGGCGAGAGCGTTCAACGTTAAATTAATTTTGTTGTACACTGCATCTCCCTGAAGCCTAAGTGAAGACTACTGGGAAAGCTGGGCTTATGATTTTTAAAAATAATAGATCTTGTTGTTGTTGTTCAGGTTTATGGGCTAATTTGAGCCATTTTTAAAAGCCCTGGGTTTTCCTTTAAGGAAGCATAAATGCTTTTTGAAAACCAGACGTTTGTAAAACATTTCATCGTGGGTATCTGAAATGACTGGTTGTGTCAGAGTACAGACCTTCGCTTTCCTTGCAAAGCCTTTCCAACAGCTACCTCCAGAATCAACTCCTTTAGTAAAAAACCGAGGGGCGTTTCCAGGATGTAGGGCACCTTTTGTTTTCCAGAGAAGGCAGAAATACCCCAGGCACCTCTTCACTTAGTTGTTCTCTCCAGCTGTTGAGACAAAAACATTTGAGTTCTGTGTTTTCCGTGCAAGTTTTGCTTTTCAGGGAATTACCAATTTAGTTGGAACTGGCTGAATTAAATTCACTATTTTAATTCCTCATAGTTGTGTATTTCTATTCCCATTTATTTTTACTTCCTAGCGTCATTAGCAGCTAAGACCCATATCAAAGGACACTAAAGAAATTTGATAAAATCGCCTGTTTCTTCCGAAACA